TAGCTAGTATTTAGGGAAATAGGTTCACACCTCTTTAGATGTATGTCATCACACCACACCTATCACCAAAGAACCCAAAGGCTTTTATCATAATCCAGTGGGTTCCCTTCCCCTTTTGTTATTCACTCAAACTTCCCCCTTCAATAGCCTCAATTTTGCAGTCATATTTCTAGATTTTTCTTTAGTTTAGTTAATCTGTTTGTTGGCTTTGTGTATCTGTCTTCTACCAGATGAATGAAATACTCCAGTAGAAGTCACCCTTCTGACTTTTTAAAAGAAGAAATCAAGATTTTTTACTTGGCAAAAATTTCTTGGAAATTGCTCATTCTCATGGGAACTTGAAGGTCTTAAGCTGGTATTATTTAACATGTTTTAACTTACACATGTTGCAAATTCAGACTGGTCCCTTCCTCAGTAATTAGAGCAAGGGAGACTGCATATCCCTTGGGTCTAGTTAAAAATGTTTGAGAAAAAAAAAAAAAAACAACAAAACAACACATGAAGAACCTTGATAATTTGCTTTAAAAAATAGTAGAGGACTTGTCAGGAGGACAAAGAGGGAAATAAATTAATGATTAAGTACAATTTTCTCAAACAGAGAAATATAAATTTCAACAAATTTGTACAAGTAAGATGAAAGACTTATCTGAAAGACTTATTTGAAAATGGAAAAAAAATGCTGTTATATCCAGTTTCATTGATTACTAAATTAGCATGTCCGTTCTGATGTCTTAAAGATGAAAATATTGGAAGATTACTTCTTAGAATTGCAATTTATAATTTGAATGAAGGTTCTGAACTATGGAATTTTTAGGTATGAATACTGTTCAGGTTTCCCTGATGAGGTGACTCGAGTACAAGACCTTCCTTCTCAAAGGAAGTCAGTCTCCAAGTAGACAAGAGTTTTCATTGGCACAGAAGTAGACTTGTGACGATCTCTGAGCTTGTTTTCTTAGAAGTGAATGTCTCATTAACAATTATTGGATGATACTATAGCAACACAAAAAGTTTATAGAGTATATGTGTTCAAATAATGTATTGTTACTATAGATAACATTTCATAACCACCCTGTGCTCAAGGAAAAGACCAAGAAACTATACATACTTGTAGAATAAAAGGGGGATAAAGAGAAGAAAGGAAACAAAGCTTCTCTCCAATTTGTCTGAGTTTAACCTTTCCTGGATTTGGGCATCTGGACTATCAAGTATGTCAAGATATGTTCTGTGATGAAAACCAACTTGCTTCTATGACACTCTTGTACTCATTCTTTGAACCTGGTCAAAATCTTAACTCATTTTTTATACTAGTGTGTTATCTTTTTTGATTTATATGAATTGTCACATGTTCAGAATATTAACTTCTAGTCAGTTGTATTGGAAATAACTCTAATTTACTTCTTTGACTTTTAACTTTGTTGACATTGTTTTTATAGGCTGAAGTTTACATGTTTCATTTGGCAGAACCTTTTCTCTTAAAGCTATTGGGAGGAGTTTCTCTGGTTCCTTGGAAAATGAGGACACAGTAGACTGTCTAAATGAAGCTTAAGAAACTGAAAGGCAAACAGTGTGGCCCATAGCTGTATTGGGAACAAGCTGCTTTTCCTTTAAAGGACTGTCTGCTTCCCATGGGGCAGGGTGGCCCATTTGGCACAATGTCAGGCTGGAGGTCCTTCAAGATCCATCCCTTTTATCTAAGAGGACATTCTGCCCAGTTAGGTGAGTTCTGCTGGGATACTTGAGGTCATCACAGACTGCAGATCTAAGAGATAATGGTAAGTGATAAACTAGAGAAGAAACTGCTATGGTTTGTTTGAATGTCTGTATCCCCCTCAAATTCAGACATTGAAAACCTAATACCCAAGGTGATATTATTGGAGGAGGAACCTTTGAAGCATGACTAAATCATGAGGGTGGAGTCCTCATAATGGGATTATAAAAGGCCTTTTATAATAGAGGCCCAAAGAGCTGTTCCATTCTCTTCCGCATTGTGAAGGGGCCATTTGAACTGGTCCCTTATCTAACCAGGCGGTCAACACTGATCTTATACTTCCAGCCTCTAGAACTGTGAGAAATAATTTGTTTGGTTTAGAATTTATCTAGTATGTTATAGTAGCTTCAATGGACTAAGACAGAGGCGTTGCTTACATGGTTATTTAAATATGTAAAATGGTTATTTAAATATGTATATCTTCTAACACTAGACTAGGTTGATCTTAAAGTACTCTTACAGTTGTTAGTTTCTCAAAATGATGTAACTTCATTTCTCTTTTGAGTCAACTGTCATTTTGGAAAGGAATTTTTCAACTACAAGGATCAGGAAGTAATTTATGATTCTCTATCCCTTTTTTAATTTTTAATTTTTCTTAGTTTTGTTTCAACTCAACTATTAAATGTTAAATTGACTCACATGGTCTTCAAAGCCCCCCATCATATCCTATTAATTTCCAGTTGTACAGAAAGTAAACAGCCATATCCAGCCCTGCACACTACTTGACACACAGAGGATGAGTTTTGCATCTCTCTTCATTAAGAGCCACCTCATTTTTATAAGCTGAATCTATTAAATTCCAAGTTTCAAAATTTAGCTTAACTTATGCTACCCTCTGCTTCTCATTTAGACCACATATTTGATTGCTTTTTTATTTTTAAGCTTTCAGCTTCTTCTTAAAATTTTAATTTACATAAAAGTAGACCAAGCAATTATGCATTTGCATCGCCCCAGGGGTTCCTGTACTGTTCCTTCTATTGTTCAATGATTAAGCTTAAATAGATAATCTTCCATGCATGGAAAAAAAATAATCATTCTTTCAGGTAAGGACATTCAAAGATCAAATGTAGAAATTACCTACTGTGCTGATATTACTGAGTGTTGCTTGATTTTAACACTCAGCCAGTATGTACAATTTGTACATGTGTCTCCATCCCAGTGTTGAAAATCTAAAAGTCTGGGAAGCATTAGAGTTTGTTTGCAAATGCTTATTCTAACAACTTTCCAGTTAAAAATTTAGACCAAGTCACTTTAAAAACATGATCGTGATTGCCCTTACTTTCATTTTTGACAAGCTTCAATCAAGAATTCACTGATTCACATTGTGAATATAACAGACCAAAACTCAGAAATTTCTAATTTCCCAAATGATTGGGAAAAACAAGTCTTCAATTAACAAAGATATCAAATATTGACACACAATTTGAAGAGGAATCTATACCAGGAAATATTCTAATAAAATATAATGTAGAAAGTAAGAATTTAAAATGGGTCAGACATTTTAAATGCTTGATTATGATCCCTCTTTACTCTACCTCATAGTAATACCATATAAAAAAATTACAATCCTCCCACCTACATCAACCTGTGGACCCTTAAATTGACCCACAAGAGAGTCACAGTTTCCCATAAGGCCACATTTCTGTTTTTCTAGCTGTGCGTGAAAATAAACAGCAGCACTTCATTTCACATCTTTAAAACTGCATTTACAACTCTGTACATATTTTTCTGGAAGCATGATATCTCTTACAATTTTTTGGGTTTCATTTTAACATCTGCAGGTATAGATTTAACCAACAAATTTATTCTTGGGCTCTTCCTTTGTAGCTCTTTCCCCAGACTCAACCTTCCACTTGGCACTGAAGGTATTTTGCTCATGGTTGCAGCCAGGAGGTGGGACCTATTTAGCCTGCAGAGTCAGGATCCCATACTCTGTGTCTAGCTTCCACTGGAAGCAAACCCTGCTAGCATTCAGCTGCCTCCCTTCTGCTGCCTTTGATGACAGTGTTGTGACTCGAGTTATGGGGACACCATCAATAAGGTTGTGTTTTCTGTCTGTTCCATTAACGATCCTGGTATTGAGTGTCATCAACACCAGAGAAAATATCTCCAGAGACATCTCCTTGTCTTTCATGACTGGAGATATTCCAGTTCCTGCCCATCTCTACACGGGGCATCACAAACAAATCAGTAGCTTCTGAGCAGAAGCTTCCTTTTTTGCTCTGCTTCTATCCCCAGCCCTCCTGCCTCGAATGAAGACCAATAAGAATAATGTCACCTGTTCTTCCACTACAGCACAAGATTCTTGTGAGGAATAAATGAGATGACAAATAAGAAAACAATGTGCCAGGAATTGCCTCTCAACAGGTTGCATGTGTGTCTCGTTCACTAAAGAGGAGAGGAACAGAAGTTCCATTTATCCAGCTTCCACTCCCCTGAAAATAGAGCTGAAGCAATGTTTCAGCTAAAAGAAAAATAAATAGGCAGTGTGGCTCAACCTGTCCAAGTTCTCATTCACTCAACTCAAATCAAGAAGGCCAGTTCCTCCCACCAGGAACTTGCATTTTGGCAGCAGAGATGGGCAATTCACAAGTACAAAAGCAAGATCACTTTACTTAGTGATGAATACCACTAAGAAAAAGGGGGAAATTGCCAAATCCAAATGGGAAGTTGTAGCTTAGTTGGTATAAAGTGTATAGGTGAATAACTTTTAAAATCTGCCATGTAAATGTATTGTCTATACTTAACAACACTATGATATACTTTAAGATGTGTTATAAGAGTATATCTCATACTATAATGTTCTTACCACAGAAAGGAGGGCACAAAGAAACTTTCCAGGTGATATGTCATCAATGTTATGACTTCATGGGTAAATGCATACAGTCATATTTAGTAAAGTGTATACATGAAATAAGTTAGTAATAAATAAAGCTGTTAAAGAAGGAAAAGTAGAAGAATGGCCCCAGAAAAGGACAGCTTGAAGAGGAACAATAGTTATTCTGTAGTCAGGAAAAGACCAGTTATTATTTCTTCTAAAGAACAAAAACCTGTAATTAATAAACAACCTGAGAATAGCATGATATTTGAAAGAAGATTTTCACAGACCTTTTCCTTTTTGTAATTGGTAACAACTCCTTGAGGTAGGTACACAGTCTCGATACCACTTGAGAATTAGTCACAATGAAAAGGACATAACTCGACAAAATTGTAAGACAGTGAAGCTACATACCCATTTCATGTCTGGTGCTGGCCACACCTGGTCCATATGCCTCTAAAACATCCTTTACTGTCTTCATAGATTCATCGTACTTGGCTGCCAGGCCAAGGAAGTTATAAGAGCCCATGTTGATGACATCTTTGATGATTCTTCCAGTAAATCTAAAGAAAGAAGGACAAGTAACCACAAAAGAGTTTTCACATTCAATATCCCAGTGCTTTATAAAAGACTCACAAAGATTTGAGTCTGGCTCAAATCATATATTTTCTTTCTTAACTTGCTTATTGTCACCATAAAATGGTTTGCCCTTAGAGGAAAGTAACCCCATGAGAAAGCTAGGCAGAGCTTTGGGAAAAAAAGGAGCCTGAACCTTGGAGTACTACATTGCCCTGATTTTCTCAAGGACCTTCTTTTATGATACATGTGCTCTGGCTTAAATTCCAACAATAACTTTCTAAACCACCATGTGTCAGCAAAAAGTAGAGGGGCATAAATTGTCAAAGTAACTGAAAAGCCCTCTTACTGGCTGCCTTTCCTGCTGAAACAGGCCTCACTTTGACTACAATATAAACAAGCCAGCCCTGGTAACTTAATTATGTGATTTCCACTACTGGCACTATGAGGGCTTGCAGTGGGCTGAGAGATGGAAGATTCTTTCCAAGCTTTTTTTTTTTTTTCCAGATCTATAATCTGGTGCCCACACTAGAATTTCTGAAAGGATTTCTTTCCCCTTTAGATGGCTGCCTCACCTAAATGTCCAGTTGTAGTCATCTGACACCCTCTCCATCACATCGAACTGAGGCCCCGGGGAGCTGCAGATGGGCCGATTCCAGTTGTCTCTGATTCTCATGTAAAGGTTCCGTGTGTAAAAATTTTCAAAGTTTTGATATAGCGGCACAAAATTCTGTTATGAGAGAGGCAGAAGATTACATTTGGTCCTTACTTTTTGTATTTTATATACAATTGAACACCAGGGGATGACTAGAGAGAGAGAGCATATATTCTATCTGCTGCTAATTTTTGAGCAAGGATCAATGAGTCAGGATATGGGTGAGGTATACAGATACCTGACAGAGTTCTCCATTCTCAAAGAATTTACATTTAATGGGGGAAGTAAACAATGTGGCAAATAAAAGTAACAAAGACAATGCAATACAAATCCCAAAATGAGTGGTAGGGAATTTTGTAGTTTAAAGCCGTTCATTTGAGAACAAAATCAGTGGGATGAAAATTGGTCTCAAAACATTTTGAATATTAATATACTTACTCATTGTATTTTCAGAAATGTGGATGCAACTGAATTGTTGGAAAGGTTGGCAAAACTAATGGTAGGTAACTAGCTGTAATGGCCAAAGGCCTAGAAACTGAGTTGATCGGCTCGTGAAGATCCAGCTGCTCATGAAGATTTCACAGTTGAAGTAGCAGTGCTGTTTTATGGGACAAAATGTAATCCATGCTTGAGGGATTTGCAATCCCAGTGAGGCCCAAAGCAAGACCTATCGAACGTTGTCTTCTAACTTCTAACAGTTAGTACAAGGCAGGCTATGCAAAATCTTGATTTAAGCCAAGTACATTGGGTGCATGTAAGAACGGAGCCTAAGGGAGAATGAAATCATGCTAGAGGAATCAAGATAGTTTTATGTAAGAAGGAACTTGGAGATGTGCACTGAAGATGGGACAAGATTTCGATGGGTAGAAATATTACTCTACTCAGAATATCTACTCCCTGTTTCCTGTAAAGTTCAAATGGTTATGTCAGCTGGGCAGAGAAAGTGGGACCTTAACGTATCCAAGCAGGGAACTCAGAAATTACCATGGAGGCAACAGGGAGCCACAAAATAATTGGGAATAAACTTTCTTAGTCTCCTTCCCATCTTCTTTGTGTTCTTTGTTTTCTTGTCCCTTATAAAATGAAACTGATTTCCTAAGGGAACAAGAAGGAACACAAGGAAAGATTTTATGGAAGGGTTGTCTAGTGCTACTTGTTTGACCCATTCATCTCCTGAATTGTTCCATACCAGGAAGAAATAAATAAAATCTATGGATTTGATGGCCGGTGGCTGCATCCAAACAAACATTCGTTCTTTCTATCATTTCACCCTGTGGTTTGCAGTGACAACCATCACTTCTGAGGATGGGGTAAAGTGATTGTGATTTAAAAAATATTGATAACCACATACTGGGGACTATTTATTACATGTGACTGAATGGTGGTGGGGAATTTTATTGGTTATATTTGAAGGTTGAAAATCTCAGAACAAATGCATTTGCTTTTAGATAACTAATACCCTGACACAGGCCTTACTATTATTTAAGCTACAGTGTTATGAGAATCAGTGTATCATTGTATGTTCTAACAAGGAAACAAATATATATTTGAAAGAAAAGGAAATTACAGTATTCTGGGAAAATTTTTTACAAACTACTTCCTCTTTGATTTAATAACATTAAAAAAAAACTATAACTGATGGGTGGATTACTCCACATCCCCAAAACTTCTGTCTTTCCATGTCTATTTTTAAATTTATTTATAAACTCATCCTATTAAAGATAGAGAGAGAGAGACAGGTATATTAAGTAATGTTTTTCGATTGAATGGAATGCTAGTTTTAGATTTTATGAGAAATCTTATCCAAAATATTCTAGCAGTTGGTTTAGGGAAAAAGCTAATAGTTACTTTAGGAAAACAGTTGATTTAAGTAAAATAAAACTCAAATATTATATCTAAAAAATAAAACAAGAGTAATTTCAGATATGGAAGCACAAGATACCTGGGTAGTGGGAACATCAAAATCATAGAGATAAACACCAATTTGTAAATGAATGAATGATGAAACATTCATCAGAAGCTTCTCTGTCATCAGGTTGTCACAGAACAACTCTGCTACACCAGACTTCTTTAGTGCACAAGGACATGCTTAAACTTGGAAAAGGGATATATGCACAGTTCTGTGGACTCAGGCAGGAAACAGTCTATAAACGCTTGAAAACACTGTGGTTGTACAAAATAAATATTTTAAAGAAATAATTTATGTTAATATTTATTACTCTTATGTACATTTAAATAAATTCCACTAAAACATTTTGAGGGGGGTGGGGGAAAGGCAAATATCCATTTGCCAAGTGAGAAAAATCAGCTCTAGTAAGGTAAGTGATTTGAACTCTGGTCTGGCACACCTGTCCCAGCTTATCCAAGCTTTTTTCTAAAACATAAGCAATGACCAATAAACAAACAAACAAACAAACAAACAAATAAAACATGACCCACAATATGGAAGAATAAGGCCAACAGGATGCCAGACAATGGAGGAGTGTTCAGTCATCATAAAGAACTTGGCATTGACTAGAGAAAACAACTTAGGCCACTGTCATTGATGCTTCATAGTGATGTGTCATCATAGCCCTGAGAAAAGGTGGAACAGAACTCCATCCTGCCCAATCTTTCTGGCTCCTGGTTCAGAGATCCAGAATTTCTACCTATGAGGAAATGAGCAAGTTATCTCTTCAGTGAGATAAGTGCGGTGAGGGCAAGATACTGGGATTCTTGTTCTGTGGGATTAGAGAAGACTTTCTGTTAGGGAATGGCCTTCGTAATTAATAGAAACTTTTAAAATTGGATTCACAAAGCTTCTCTGCCAAAGGGATGGGTCAAGTTTTTAATCATGCAGACCATTTCTTCGTGTGTGGTGTGAGTGCTAACCCAGACTAGAAACACAAACTTAGTGGTTCACTTGTTTATGAGAGAGGCATTGAGCTGGGAAACCTACTTTGAAGTCAAGCTCTAGTTCAGGAAGAATTGCATTGCTTTGGGGGCATTGTCTTCCTCTTCCTTTGCCCTTATGAGGCTTCCTGCCCCTGTATGGGTGTATATTTCACCCCACCCCATTCCTTTGAGTACCAGTGAGGTTTCTTTAGGAACAGTCAACACCTTCTAAAGGTCAATGTCCTCAAATCTCAGGTAAACCTCCCACAGCATTTTAACTATGCTAGAAAATGAAACTAGACTAGCTATTGCAAAAACAGAAACATTGCAATAGAATATCTTTTATCTATCTGCGATTTGTCACTTTGCCTATTCACTATCTTTATTTTTTTTTCTGATACAATTCGATATGAAAGAGAAGTACAGACCATAAGGACACAATCATTTGGAAAGTAATAAGTGAACCCAAAGTTGAAGCCACAAAGATGACTTTTTTTCTTTTATAACATGACAATCTTTTCCACCATTAATTTGTAGGGAACTTTATAGTTTCCTCCTGTTATAGAGAAGTCTACACAACTGTTATAGATCAATCAATGGGAAGTTAGAAAATGAGAGAGGACAAATTAGGAGGGGCACTTAGCTTGGAAACCAGAGCTCCTTTCAATAAAACTGCTGTGGGCTAGGTGTTAATAAAAAAGTGAACAAAACATATTCACAGTCCATTATAAAAAATACTATTGAATTTAGAAAGATGTTCCTTTCTTTATTTAATTACATGTCTATTCAGTAACAAATGGAATTGAGGATTTGTAGGAGAAAATTTTTTTATCAAATACCGATTATTCATTTATGACTACATTGATAATTAGGTTCATACCTAATATTTCATATTGTAAAACTACCTTTTGGGAGACAGTGTTTTTTCTAACCGGGGTTGAGCTCAGAAAAAAATACAATATATTTTATTACATACATATTATACATTATATCTCTATATATGTGTGTGTGTGTGTATTTATATATAATGTAATATATTCTACCATTCATCTGAAATGTTCTGTGAAATGAAAAAAATGGTATTTAAAAAACAAAACAAAGTTGTAAATGCTTAGAAAGACAAGCTGCTGTATTACCAACAGAATCAGAAAAAATAGAAGTATCAAGAAAGATAGAACATAAATAAGATATGACAAATGGAGCAAGAAGACCACAGGAAACTAATTCTAAACATTTCTAGATAAGACCAGTGTGGACATAAATTGTGGGGGACCTATAATCTGAGTTTCAATAATAGCAAGACAATGAGATTTAGAGTGATTAACTGGTAAGCTGATTCATTTTTATGGTTTTTCTTAAACATACACAAAAAAGGACCATAATAAATGTCACTCTTCTTTAAGGAAAACCAGCACAATAAGAAGCACCAAATTCAACAAGAAGAACTTGTTGTTCTTTTAAAGAAAAGAGTTAACAGAAATAGAAAATTAATTTAAAAATTACATAAGTAACATATCTAGAGAGACACTACAGAACACTGTAAACTTTAAAAAGATAAACAGCTCAAAATATAAAGGATACAGCTGTAAAGCAAATGAATAAGCTAGAATAGTGTAGTGACTAAGTTTTTCAGGACATAAAGGACAAAAGAAAGAAAATACCATGGAAGGGTCAAGACATATGTAGGGCAAATTCAAATATCACTATAACAGAAGTTGCAAAATCAAAAGGATGATAAGGTGGTGAAGAGGAGGAAAAGAAGATAAAGAATGAGGAAAAGGCAGGGAGGGATTTTCTAGAAAGGAAAGATTTGAATCCCAAGAGGTAAAGTGTTTTTCAGGCATGGACACGTATTTTGCTGAACTTATTCCTCTCCAGTTCCACCCATGTTGCCACCCAATGGCAAGATTTCTTCTTTCTTTACAGCTCAGTAGTATTCCATTGTGTATTTAAGCAATAACTTTTTAATCTAGTCATCTATCATTGGGAATTTGGGTTGCATCCATAACTTGACAATTATAAATAGCTGCAATGAACTTAGGAGTGCATATATCCCTTCAAATTAGTGGTCTTGCACCTTTCGGTAGATCATATTTATAACTATTTTTAACATTTTGGAAAACCTCCATACTGTTTTCCATAGAGGTTCAACCAGTCTACACTCACCAACAGTGTATGAGGTTAATGGAAGTGATTTTTAG